AGGAGAACATGGTCCATTACACGAGTCCCTGGGTTTGTAACATCATTCACATCAGCCCCTACAAGGGAAACTCCTGCCACCCTGCATCCCTCCCCTGCCTGGGGGTCACTGTCTCTCTCCAAATGCAATGGACCAGGTCCAGACCTCACAGCCCACATGTCAAGGACACCAACACCTGAAAAGCCAGGAATAAAAAGCAAGTCTTAAGTTATAAATGCTGAGCCCCATTTACTTGCCCCGCTTCCCCTCTGGGGCAGTCTGCTAAAATTACTGCACCATTCTCCATTAGCACCTACGGTGTGACTCTCCAGGGTGTCCTGTGCAGGACTAAGAGTTGGACTCGATGATTCTTGTGGTGGTCCCTTCCAACTCATGATATTCTATGACTCCATAGAATGTGTTACAAATCGCCTTCTTCCGCGAGGTTTTCCAGAGCCTTTGGCAGCACTTCATTTTCCAGTCTGAGACAGGCTCACCTGCAGCACAGGCTGCACAAATAAAAGCTCCCGCTGAGCACAGGAACTGCGCTCTGGGCTTGGGTTGTGCTTTGCTCATCGTCTCGCAGGGCACCGGTGACAGGAATTGCTGCTGACAGCGGGTGTAAGAGGCGGACTCCTGCTGCCGCAGGAGCCTGGCCGGGGGGAGCAGCAACGGAGTCTGTCAGAGCCCAGGAATACAAAATGGGTTTCAGAGGGGCCACTGCGGAGCGGCTCCCACAGCGCCTCGGACAGACACAGCAGCGAGAGGCTCGGACAGACCCGCTGCCCTGCTGAGCATCGTTCCTGTCCCGGCACGGGGCTCTGCAGCATCCCTGCCATCACAGCATGGGGCCCTCCAGCATCCCTCCCATCCCAGCACGGGGCTCTCCAACATCGCTCCCAGCGTGTCATGGCACTCTCCCACAGCTCCCAGGCCGTGTCCCAGCTCCTGCAAGGACAAACCTCAGACTACACAGCCCGAGCTAGATCCTCCATTAGACTGAATCAGGGGTAGAAGAGAAGAGCTGCATTATGCCAGCTCCAGACCCAGCGCCGCCCATCCTCCCCATCCCTTCCCCAAACAGCCAGGTCCAGTGGCTTTATTAAATTCTGCTTTATTTTTCCCTGCTGCCCTTGACTAGAGGGCTTACAAGCAAGACCAACATGGGCAAGCCCTTAAATTCAAGCAACACGACTTGCTTATGAGCCACCACACCCCACACCCTCCCTGGCACCGTTCTGCACCACAGCCCCGCAGCGCCCTGCCAAGTCACCGGCTTTCCCCTGCGGCCGCTGAGAAGGTCCAGCTTACGTAAGGAGGAACAAACTGGCTTTTCTTCACCACCCTTTCAATGCTGCCATTCATCCCCTGCCCTCCATCCTCCCGGTGCCACCTTGAAGGATGCAAAACACACAGCCAAAAGCACTTCATTTCATGTTCTCCCGGGGCAAATGTTGTCCATGGGTCTACAATTTTGTAGCATTAAGCGCAAGTGAATTAAAGGGTTAAGGCAACAAAAAAAAAATACCAAGATGCAAAGGTACCCATGTGTTAAGGTCACTCCTACCCTGGCAAAGTCATGTCACTGCTCAAAAAGCAAAGAGCTCTGAGACTTGACAGCCCCTTCCTGGAGGATGCAGGGGCTGCAAAGCCAGGTCACATGCACCCCACTGTACCAGTGAATCCGGCATCTGACAGCGAGGGACGGAATCTGTTCAATGGTTGTGTAAAGACTTTGGCTCCGATGCTGAGCAAGCACTAAAGCCGGTTTTAGTTCTACCCAGCTGGAAACATCTTGGTCAAACCCCAGGTTATTTTTGCATCTGCACATCAGTTCTGCCTGGTTAGAGATTCCGTGCTGACTTTAGCCAAGCGGTCAACCCCAGGGAGAAGCAAGCCAGGAGGGGAACAGGACACAGCTTTGCAGGCCGAGCATGAAATGACAAAGCCAGGTTTATTCAGACCCAAATAGGCAGCTTCAAAGCATTTTTCCACCCCTCATAAAATCAATACTAGTATCATAACCCTCTACACTCCAGGACTTTAGCCCTCTTCTGACTTCAGGCCAGCACGGATGCATTCTGCCTGCCATTATTTGTCAAATACCAAATTCCAACCCCTTTAGGAAACCAGGGGGGAAGGAAGCATGGCTGGTTGAACTCTTTGTCCTTCTCCCCCCCCACATACACACTTTCACATCATGAGAACAGAGCAAGAAAACCCACAAAAAATGCACATTCCCAAAGCCAGAGTTACATCCAGTTCTGGCAACCCAGTGGTCTTACCACAAAGCTCAGTGCAGCCTGGATCCCCTTTGAGTTCTTAACAATGCATTCACAGTGGTGGCAGGGTGGGGAAGGAGGGTTTCAAAAGGAAGGAGCAGCAAGGAACAAGCTGTTTGGAACCCAGAAGCCAACCACTGCAAGAGGAACGCTCCCCAGCCGAGCTTTACTGCTCCTCCCGGGCAAGTGCTTTGAAGCGTGGCAATGGAAAATGAGGAGAGAGCCAACAGCATCCAGCACGTTGGAGGGGTATGAGTCTGCAAACACTAAAATGTCTAAGATGTCAATAAAGGCTGGGCTTGGTGGGGTGAAAGAAGGAAAGTAGGGAAGACAGAGCCCTCAGTGGCCTTATGCCATCCGTACATTCTCCCGACTGCAGATTCCAGGGAGGTCGATGAAGCCATTGGGATGCAGGCAGCCTGCAGGCAGCCTCACACATTTGGACTTCAGCATGATGCAGGGTGGTATTAGCACATAAATCTGGAATTTACCCATTTTATCCAGCTTTGGATGGGGAGAGAGAAGGCAGCATTCAAAGGTGTCCAAAGTCTCCCCTCTCTAGCCAGTGTCAGCAAGGGAAGGGCGGTTTTTTGCTTCTATTGCTGTTAAACCACAAAGCAGCAGCCACATGGAGATGACAGACTCTCATATCACATGCACCAGCTGCTGGGCAGGATTTTCAGCCATTTTGCACCCCTTCTGCCAATTGCACAACCAGGACCTTGCTGTCAAAAATGATGGTAACACTCTGCAGCCCATTCCTTCTCTGCCCTGGATGACTGACAGCCAGGCCTTGAAAAGATGCTCCCGGGCTCTTGCCAGGGACGAGCCACGGCCATGAATCACAGGAGAACTGTGGCTGAGGAGGCAGCAGCTGGTTTGCAGAGTGTCACCAGGGTACAGCAGCCAAACACTGGTCAGAGGGGCAGGAAGAGACAGGACCAGATGAAGAGGTGCAGGGGAAGCAGCTGGGAGGAAGTTTGCACGGCATCTGCACCACGGTCCCAGCCACCCACGTCTACTCATACTAAACATCAATTACATGGAAATTAAAAGAGGAAAAAATAAACACTCTGAAAAGACAAGAGATGAAAACATCCACGCTTTATCTTTGAAGAGTGAGATGAACCCACCCTGAAGAAATGTAGCAGGAGTCAAGAGACTCTTGGGATTACTCATTACAGGAGACGAGATTCTCTACATCTTTCTGTTTTGCAGCAATTAGCTGGTAACTGGGAAAAAAAAAATGAATAGATCAACACTTTTCTATTATTAGTTTTAAATAATGACTCAGAAACAGGCACTTCCTTTTTTTCCCAAGCTGTGAGGAGCTAGGCACCAAGACCCTGGTAATGGCTTCAGGCTCATTTAAACTGCAAATGTCTCTGCAGAAATTACAGGAGAGCAGTGTGAACACAACGAGAAACAAACCCTTTTTTTCAAGTGTAACTACTGGCAATTACCTTTCATTTATAGGTTAAAAAGCTTGATGCAGCATATTTGTTAGAAGAGCATGCAGAGCCAAAAAGATGTACGTGTACAGAAATTGGGGAAGCGAGGAAGGAAGGAAGGAAAAGTCATGCCCGCTGATGGCCTTGGAGAGAAACTGAGTAAAAGGCCAATATGAAGAAGTCTGCCCAAAACACAGGGCTGCCTCCCAAGGCCTGACCCTCGACCTTAATCACCAATACCATCCACAGTGCAGGGAAATAATTAAGCATTTCAGCTCTGAAAGAGTTGCCTGCCTAATGTGCTAAGCAGACAGTTTTTGCAGAGCAATTCAGAAAGGAAAAGAGAAGCAGATTCAGCTGATGAGACACAAAAAGTCTCTCTAAAGGCATTAATTTCCTTTGGGAAGCAGCCCACATGCTCCTGGCACAGTGGGAACCATCACTCCTGCAGCAGGTCCCAGCAAGGCAGATGATCAAATCTGCATCAGTCATTTGGAATAAGCAGAAAGGAGGTGGATGAGGATGCAGTGTCACGAGCGGGAGCTGGCACGCTGAAAACAAACGAACTTGGAGTTCACCTTGACATCTGCTTATTGAAAGAAACCCTTTGGATCTTCTTCCAGGGATAAGCATCTGCATCCCTGCCACGTTCCCCTTAAAGCGTGCACAGGGATGAGGACACAGCAGAGCTCTCGAGGGTCACTGCACACAGCAGTGACCTGGACAGCTGAGCCATCCAGGAGCACACTCTGCCCCTCCTGGCTGGTCACAACCCCCAAAAACTTCAGGCACCATCCTGCAACAGGATATGTCAAGGGAGATGCTCCACACTAGCAAGGTATACAAGGGCTGAACCTCAGCTTTTGGGACGGTAGAGTCCCATACTGCTTTCCCAAAAGTGAGGCAGTGCAGAGGTGCTGTGCTGGCCACCTGCACGTCCTGAAGCACTTCACAGGCTTGGTGTCACTGCTCCCAACACCATTTCCTTCCCGTGACCCTGGATCAGGCTCACCAGCTGTGAGCAGCACACGTCACCAGGGCCCAGGTGCTTCTCCAGCACTGTTTGGCAAGGTCAGGCACTGACCCATCCCATCTGCCTTGAGCCAGCTCGGAGCTGACCACCAGCAGACCTGGCTGGTGAAGGCACCACCGACATCCCTGCTCCCAGAGAGATCCGACTGCTCTGCAAACCTCAGACCTCCAAAACAGCAGCCCTGAGACAACACACAGAGGCAGGTGCATAATTTCTTGGGGTTTTCTTTTACTTTTCTTTTTTTTTTTTGTTTTAATTCCTTCCCTTCCTTTGCCACGACACACGCTTTGTATTAAATATCTTAAATATATTAATTTTTAAAAAGTATTAATAAAAAGCTACTGAAGGACACAGTTGGCAGAGTGACCAAGGGCAGTGACCCATAGCAAAATATGGGGACATTTTAAAAAACAGAAAACAAATTATAACAAAAAAATGGCATTTTTTGCATATGCACAGCTGGCTGGAATACCCTGGACTCTGACATTATTGCAAAAATGGAAGGGAAAGCAGTAGAAAAAATATATTCCATTGTACCAACCTGTATGGGGAAGGGAGTTAAGAGCAAAAATGAGGAGGCTTTAAACATTTTTGGTATTTCAGATGTTCCCTCCCACACCCACTGCCCGATCACTTTTAGTCTTTAAGCAAGTTTTCTGGCTTGGGGTAGCCAAAGAGTACAAAATCTGCTTCGTAAAGCTTGTAGAGCTGCTGCCTCCAAGCCAGCGGGATTTTGGCAAACCAGTTATCTTCCCAGCTGCTGGCAGTCCTGTTCCTGTAGCTGGGTGGGAAGCGAAGCAGCCTGTCCACTTTGAGGAGCTGCAATAAATAGGCAGCATCCTCATCCAGCGTCTCCAGCTTTCCGATGAAATCGTAGTCTATCTGGCACGGGTGGCACAGGCGGTAAACCTGCCTCCAGTGCTCATTGAAGGGGGTCATCTTCTCTGTCCTGGGATCCAGTAAGTACTGGATGAAGTCAGAAAAGGAGACTTTGAGGCCCGCCCCGAAGGCCTCGCTAACGGAGGTGGGGAGGTTGGTGTGGTTGGAGTAGAGCTTCAACATGGGGACGGCGAAACGCCGGTAGAACTCCTCGTTCTCCAGCTCGAATTTGCTGCGGAAGGCGGAGATGAGGCGGACAAAAGGGTCCCGCACGAAGAGGAACTTGGTGTACTTCTTCAGCTTGATCTTCATGAGGTGCCGGGAGAACTTCCCATAGCGGCGCCAGAACTTGTTGAACGTCAGGTGGGTGCTGGTGTTGTGGACGTGCTCCCGGGGGATGTCCAGAGGGTTCCGGTACGGGACGCCCCGGTCCAGGAGGCTCTCGCTGAGCACAATCATCACTCGTTTCCAGTTGGTGCAGGCCACCTTGGGCACGTAGCAGTAGATGATGCCGTGGCGGTCATCCACGATCAGGTGGTTGAGCTCGTAGTTCGGGATGTCATCAAAGGAGCGCTCCTTGGTGGGGAAGGTGAAGCTGGAATTGGCACAAAACTCCCGCAGCGTTCTCTGCCTCTCCACCTGCAGCTTCGCTTGGTCCAGGCTGTTCCTGTCCTTGTGCGTGGACCAGTCATAGCCCCGCACATTCTCCTCCAAATTACTCACCACGGGCTTGTTGGAGCCCTGGACAAGGAGCTGCTCTGTCTTTCGGGGGATAGAGTTGTTCTGTCTCAGGCTCGAACTAAGCAGCTTTGCCAAAAATTCATCTACATCCGGCAAGGCTTCCCAGTCCTCACCTGCCGTGATACCAGGGATGGCTCCCGGGGAACGAGGCCTGGAGAAGGACGTGTGCAGGTAGAAGTGAGCCGTCCCCACGTTGTCCCAGTAGACAATGATCAGGAGGATCATGAAGATGGAGACCAGCACCACAGAGAGACGGAGGAGCCGTGCTTTGGTCATCCTGACACCTACTGTGGTAGCTGACTTTCACCTGGATTCACCTCCGACTCGCAGAGTGAGGTTTGGGATCCAGCATGGTGCTGCAGAGCGGGATCCTGGAAAGGTATGAGAAGAAAAATAAGTTAGTTGAGCCCTTAATCCCTCTGGTTTGGAGAGAATGACCTGGCACAATCAAGACTTGTTGTGGGCTCGGCCATCCCCATTTTCACACAGGGAGAGCTCTGAGAGTACCCAGAGAGACCCTGTGGAGAAGAGCTGACCGGCCAAAAGGAGGCACAATGTGTTGCAATTTTATCAGTTTCATAGCAATCATGGCTTTTTATCAATCTCGAGCTTCTGGAGTCACATGATTTCAAGAGAAGCTCTGTTTTAATTTAAAAAAATAAGTAAAATACAATGATTTCAGGCCTAGAGCTCACAGAAGCAAGTTTGAGAGCATTAAAATATACAACCATATAGAGAAAGTATGCAGAGCCAACTGCCCCCTTGAATTTTACACATATCTAATACACAAGAAAAAAAGAAGGCTTAATCCATGATTTTACATTGTGGTATCACGATGTGGTCTTATCTCCCCATGAAGGTGCTCTGTGCTGAAAACAAATCCTTACTGCAGTTATAAACGCAGGGCTGAAGATGCTGTTGCCTCAGTGCCTAAAGCAAGTCCCTGCTGAGAGAACTGACCTGAACACACCATCTTATCTACTCTGTGTAGATAAGTGTGAAGGCACCCAGTAGATGTTCCCTCCACAACCTTTCTTGATAGCTGCTTCATTTTGTGAGGAACAGAGATTACACATAGAGTTTTCTTACAAAAACCCCCAAAGGGACACAGCCCTGATAAAAGCCACTCATCAATAAAAATCTAAAGGAGTAATTACTTCTAACTGAATGATTTCTGAGATTAAGGATGCTCTGGTAAATCTGTGTTCGTGTCCAGACACTGTTGACTCGGGACCTCTTTTCCTCGTTTAATGTAATTTATATTTCTATTGCACTCATCACTAAACTCTTGATCACCTAAGACAGGCATGAAATCGCTGTTAAAAGGGCACCTCAGATCATCTGTTCTAGAGGGTGCAGCAGGTTTGGGTTTTTTTACTTCAACCAGTCCCATCTTTTAACTGCTACCTTGCTTTCTGAGCGTCTCCCAGCCCCTTTCCACCTGCAAGATGCTCAAGGGAGATCCATCTGCCCACCCTGCTGCATGTTTTGTGGTCCAAGGTTGCATGCAGAGGCAGGCTGGCAAAACAGGCTTGCTCTCTCCCCCAGCCATCAAGGAGCCAGCGCCTCCAGCCAGGGAAGAACAACACAGAGGAGCTAAAAGTAATCACTCCAATGTCCTCCTCTCCCCCAAGCACAGTCCAGACCCTGATTGTAAACATAGAACAGCACCTAGAGATAGAAAACAAGAACTGCCCTTTCTGCAGACATCCCAAATCTTCCCAGTGACTTCAGAACAAACCCTGCAAACACCAGCTCTGAAAACAAAGCCACTTCAGGGCAAGCTGCCCTGAAAAGCTTTTCAAAATGAAGGCTGGGTCTCTCTTCCTCCCAAAACACAGAGGCTGCTCCCCAGCCAGTTCACATCATCCCTAAACAGCACCAACCCCACCCTGTAGAACCCAAGTGCAGAGATGCAGAAGTGCTGAGCTCTGTCATTCCCAAGGAAAAGGTGCTCAGCACCTCTGAAAATCACCACAGCCCTGCAGCAAATGACCTGGTAAGGAGCCCCCTGCCTGGTTGTGCCTATGTGTGAGGGGTGCCAGGTTTTAACAACCAAAGTCCAGGTTTGAAATATTAGGCAAGAATGTAGTTACAAACAGGAACAATACCAGATACTGTTACATGTTGAAGCATTAGGTCAGCTTGTCCCAAAAGACAGAAAACACAGATCTGAAGGCTTAGGATTTCTCCACCCTGGTGTATTTATTTACAATCTGGAAGTAGGGAGAGCCAGAATTTCAGCGGAGCTGTAGCCTAACACATAGCTATGCACTGCAACACCAAAAAGTGCCTTTCCTGGAGCCAGGCTCTTATTCTGCCTGCGAAGAGGAGCTGGAGGAACTGCAGACATAAGGTTTTACAGTCTGCAGAGCAAGAAGCAGGTATTACTCAGCAGTAATTCTCTACGTTTAGCTAGTCAAGATTGAGGATGGAGGAAACCTAAGAAGAAACACCCAGAGAGATGAGCACTGAGCTAAAGAAGGGGCAAATTACATATGTGCGTCAGCACTTCAGGCCAAGCATCTCAGTCCAGCAGCAGAAGATAATGGAGGGATGCTGCCAAGCCTTCTGCTTGGCACACTCCTGGGTTTGTGTTTTGCCCAAATCTGTTCTTGCTTTCGAGCCTGTTTAGCTGCTCAGGGCAGGGACTGCTTCCCACTCTGGATGAATAGGGTGCCCACTGCGCACACAAATCCCAGCACGCTGTGTTTCCAACGCTGCTCGAGACCTCTAGGCTGGCTGGAATGCAGCAAGCCTGGAAAGCTGCACGGAGCATCCTTTTCTGCTGTCCCTACACCCAGCAGGTTCCACAGCCCTGGGCAGCACAGCAGCCTGCTGGCATTCCTGCAAAGCCAGCCCAGCTCAGGCGTGGACAGATCACCCTCTCAGCTCGCCCTCTCGGCATCAGGGACAGGAGCAAACGGGACTCTGTGTGTGGCACACCCATTCCTGGGGCAAAGGGAAGGAGGGCTCTTCCTCAAAGCCACCACCATAACGCAGCTTTACTGAGAGCACCCCAAGGGCTCCAGCCTGCTTTCCAGGACACGCACACAGGCCTGCCAGAGTGTTTGGCTTTTCCAAGACACACAGCAGCGAGCAGCAAAGGGCTCCACTTCTATTAACTCTACCAGTGCCAGAGAGGAGCCCTGCAAAACAGCAGTAAGCTTAACTCCCCCTCAGCAGGAAAACAAGGCAGAAAGCAGAGTTACTCTATTGACTACGATACATCCTCTTCCTGAGCACTTCATAAAGGATGCCAAACTAAAAGCACAAATTAGAGGTCTCTGTGCACATAAGAAGGAACATGCCTCCGTCCTCCCCTTGCCAGAATCAAAAGGAAAAGTCTCCAGAAAGAGCCAAGAATTTACATTCAAGTTCAACCCAAAGTCACCAGCCAACAGGAACGTGCACCAGGATCCACACAAAGCTGCCTCTGTGACACGACACTGGCAAACCGGGAAGTGGACCAAGTGCTATAATCATCCTACAGAGTCCCCTGAGCAGCCAGCATATGACCAGCTCCAACCTCAACCTGGCCTGGCTATGAACCAAGGAGTCTTCTCCCCATCCCAGGCCTGAGTAAGACACGGAGCTCTGAGGTCACTGTTCCCACTCTCTCCTATCACAAGCTGCCATTTCAAATAATCACTTCTCAAACTTTCATTTAACACCAGAAAGGAGGGATGTGTCCCCAGCACTCTTATTGCAAAAGCTATTGCAGATGCAACTCCTTGGGGATTTGGAAACCTTATTTCCACTTTACAGCCCGATTGTAACTGTTTATTCTCAGAACAGATAACAGCTTAAGTAATTTGTGTCTCTTTCTTCCTCTCCTCTTGACTTTGTGCAAGGACTACATTCTCTCACAGCCTCACTGCAAAAGAAAGTAACCCCAGCTCACTTACAGGAGCAGTAAGGCCTACAGAAAATAAAGCAGCTTACACAAAGACACGTACTAGAGATGAGGGGCTAACCCCTCTCTGCGAACAGGCATGAGTTTGAAAGGAATGTGCCTCCAAAGGCTTGGGTGCAGATCTCATCTCTGTGTTTCCCCAGGCCTGTCCCTCTCCCACAGCTCCCAACTCCCTGTAGGGAAGCAAAATGGCACAGGTCGAGCACTAAGCACCAGGTCACCTCCTCCAGCACCCACTCGTCCTAGCAGGAGAAGATATGGGATTTCAGGTAGCTTGCTTGGACTTTGCCTGCTTCTGAAGACAGAAAAGAAGTAGAATAAGAACTTTTAAAAACATACAACCCCTCCCAAAAAAATTCAAATGGATATTTTCCCTTGGAGCGCCTGCATTTACCAGCAATCACTGGAAAAATCACTGGACCTGTGGAGCCTTCTGTACCCACATACCATTGCAGACACCTGGCACCAGTTGCACTTAGGGAATCACCAGCCTCTAGAGACATGAAACCAAGTTAATCTCCTAAAGGTGCAGGAGAACAAGCTCCCATCAGCCAAAGCAGACAGACTATAACGAGAAACAAATTTCATATGCTCGGCCATCACTCACCTCATTGCTTCTCCCCAGCTTCCCAAAAGTCTAGCACTCTTTGCAGAACGGGGAGGGTTGAACCCATGCTTACATTAGTATTACTGCACAGCGTAAGCAAAAAACTGGAACTGCGCTGCATGTTTCACTCCAGCTTAGCACTTATACCCTGGAGACCAACAAAAAAACATCCTAATCTACAGTTATGGCAGCGCCTTCCCCTCCACTGCTGCCAAAAAAGCCTGGTTTGTACAGGCTTAGCAGCGCCAGTTGCCTCTCATTTAATGTCCGTACTTGGAAGCTGTCACAATAACAGCGTGTCTAAAATTTCCAGGAGGAAACTCCCAAAACACAGCATGTCCTGTTCATCCACTACTTTTGTCACAAACTTCCAGCACACGCATCTCTCCCCGCCCTCACAAACGCAGGGAGCGCCTCCGGCAGCCCCGGTGCCGCAGCCTGGGCCAGCGACACGCCGGGATACCCGCTGTGTGTCAGCACAGGGGCCAGAAACCAGCCCCCGACACCCGCCTTGCCTGCGACCGCCTCACAGAACACCTGATTCCGGCACAGTTTCCAGCCCGAGCTCTGCCGGTGAAGTTCTGCGCGGGGAGTTCAGGCGGGATGAGCGGCGTTTTCCGCCGGATCTCTTGGAGCGGCGCTCAAAGCCGGGCTGGGCGCTCGGTTAGGGGGCTGGTTCCCGGGATGGCTCCCGGTCGCTGCCGAGCACCGGGCAGAGCTGCTGCTTCCAGCCTCGGGCCCAGCACCAGAACCATCAAGGCTGGGAAAGACCTGTAAGATCATCGAGTCCAACCCATTTCCCAGACACTGCCAGCCCCACCGCCAAACCGCGACCCTCAGCGCCACATCCACACATCTGCCTCCTCCAAGGGACGGTGTCACCACCAGCTCCCCCGGGCTGTTCCTTCCCTGCCTCGGCTTGAGGCCGTTCCCTCTCGTTCTACCCCTTGTCACCCGGGAGAAAAGACCGACGCCCACCTGCCCGCGCCCTCCTCCCAGGCAGCTGCAGGGAGCGAAAAGGTCCCCCCTGCGCCTCCTTCCCCCCCGGCTGAGCCCCCCCAGCTCGCCGGGGAACGTCCATCCCGGCGGCACCGCGGGGAAGGTGAAGGAGAAGCGGAGCCGCCCCGCAGAGCCCCCCACACCATGCCCCGGGTCCCGCCGGAGCCGAGCCCTACCTGGCACCGGGCAGAGCGCAGGGACGGGCAGGGTGTGGGGACACCGCGCTGCGCCTCATAACCGGGGCTGGCCCGGCCCCGGGGCGGCGCCGCCTCACCGCGCCCCGCCCGGCCCTGCAGGCACCGAGCGGCCGATGCCCCGCGCTCACCTCCCGCCGGGGGAGCCTTCGCCTCCCTCCTCCTCCTCCTCCTCCCGCTCCGCCCGTCCCGGTCCCGCTGCCGGTCCCGGCGCCGCCGCCTCTCGCGAGACGCCGGCGCGGGGGCTCCCCGCGGGGCCGCGCAGGCGCCGCTCCGCCCGCCGGGGGCGGCCCCAGCCCCGGTCCCGGCCCGGGGTGTGGGATACGCGGGGTGTGGGACGCCCTCGGTCCCCCCCCGCCCCCTCGCTCTGAGGAGGCATTGTTGGACCAGCTGCGAGGGCCGCCGCACGGAAAGTGGGATTTTTTTTTTTTGTGCTCTCTCAGCACAAGGAGAGGGTCCGACTAAAGAGGGTGAGGGGTCGTGGAGCATCTCTCTGGGAACTGGGTTTGTTCAGCCTTCTGGTCCTTCGGCTGTTCGAGGGTCGCACGAGGCCTCGTAACTCCGGGCTTGGCTTGGGAACTGCTGGCATAGGTTTATCTTATACACACTCTGTGTTACGGAAGAATAAAGATATTTATCTATATATTTGTTTATCCAGAAGAATCAGCCTTGGGCACAAGTGCTCCTGACCTGGTTCACCATCACACTTCTGCTTTCTGTTTTGTTAGGAAAATGGGCTGCTTGCTGGACCTGCTCACACACCTGCATTGCATCTCCACCTCCGGGGTTTAGGACATTTATAAATACAAGTAATTAAGCTTCCTCATCCTTGGAGTGAACTATCCCTCATCTTCCCCACCGCAAAGCAGGAAGCACAGAGGAAAAGGGAGTGTGCACAATGTTGCCCAGTCAGAAAGAGCACATTGGAGAATTCTTTGCAAGTGCTACAACTGTAAAAAAAGGTTCTTCCTCCATTTGAAAAAATTCATAAACCTACCTGAGATTGTCACCTTTGGTACTTACATGAGGGAAGACACTCCTGGAGGGGGCACGGAGTCACCATTCAGTGCAATGACCAGAACCACTTTATTTGCAGCGTATTTAAAAAGCCCCTTATGGAGTGGGCTGCTGCCTGGAGATGTTGGTTCCAAAAAGAAAAACACATCCCCACAGTTTACCTCCAGGTTAGTAGCTGTTATCAGGGTCTTCACTTATCACCACTCTGCCTCTCTGGCTGCAGCCAGGTCTGAAATGCTCTGCAGATAGAAGAGAGCTTAGACCAATCTCTGGCTGCTCTCACAGCCAAACATCTGCTCACCCAAACAGCATTCCAGGCATGCATCACACCTCCCAGCTTCACAGCAACACACAGGGACAGCAGGGAAGACTGGGGAAACTATTTCTCAGGCATTTACATTTGTTTTCAATAGTCAGGGAGCCTTTAGGATGCAGGGGTGGCATCCACAGTTTTGCCCTGGGAAAAAAAGGCAGCTTGGCCTCAGTGCTGATATCTTCTGGGAAGCAAACAGTGCTGGGAAAATGAAATTTTCCTCTTCTCTTGGACTCTCTTAACACCCTACTTATCTCAAACTCAAGCTAACAGCTAGAGCACACAGTACAGAGGATAGGCTTGAAGTAGGGATAGAGAAAAAGTATTCTACAGCATATAAGGTCCCTCTCCTCCCTGCTTTCCTCCCCTCTGCTTTTCAGTATCACGACACAGAAGCCAAAATACATTTTAAGGTACATTTCTCCTGCATCCGCTTCCTTGACTTCCAGCAGTCTTGAAATTGCAATCCCTTGGGGCTACAGAGAGTTCCTGCCCCCCAGGTGACTTGTGTTTAGTCTTGGGCTGGCTCCCCAGGCGGGCAACTGGCTGCAGCTTTTGGCGGCTGCTGGCACCATCTGCAGGCCCTGCAAGCGAGGGAAGATGAAGAACTTAGTCAAGTTTCTCCTACTTCAATTTGAGTCTCGTTTCCAGTCGAAATGTGGAAGAGACAGATTGCCACAGGCTGTGGAGGGGCGAGTTTGGCAAGGGCACTGGGATCTGCACATTGCTGCCTGAAGAAGATCCCAAGGTGACACCTTGGAAGCAGTTATGTTGACATGTGGCTAGCTGAGATTAAATTTTGCCCTTCACTAATGGATTAGACTGGGATTATGAGCACCTCTGAAAATGTTACTTCCTCTTCCTAAGAGGTTATTTTTGGCTAAGAGGGAGATGGAGCGTAACTCCTTCTGGAACATTGCCCGTGTCATCTGTTGCAAAGAAAAAAGGCTTAAAACTTGGCTGCAAAACCTCTGCCCATGTGACTGCTTTCCCAACTGGACCATTTGTGTTGCATTTACAGCTCTTTTGGTTCAGATTGCAACAGAGCAAGAGTATCATAGTGCCTCCTGAGCCAGCCAACCTGGTATTTCAGGCACTCACCCTTGACTTGTTTCTGGAGGTCCCATCCTTTGACATGATCAGTGTTGCTGTGCTGGGTGGCACTGGCAGGATCGTTGCCTTTTGGCAGCATCTCCAGTGGAGTCCCCTCTGTCAAAGGGAGGGAGAGCTTCGTTATAAACAGTGTGACCAGAGCAGAGTTTAAAAATGTTTTTCAATGTATGAGTTGCTAATAGCTAGCCAAAATAAATTATAGCATTGTAAATCAAAAGTTAACCATTTTTTTAGTTAAAAAAAAAAAGTTAGAAAAACTAATGAGGACCAGTAGCACCCCTTGCCAGAATGGGGAAGGATTCTGGCAATATTTCAATAGGATTTGAGTGTCCAGTTCTCCTAAACTCATTCTGGCCTTGTGTACCTGCACAAGGCAAAACAACTGAAGCTGACAGATGGTTAGTGCAGCCTGTCATGTCTTGGTGTCCTTGCTGAGGTTGGGATGTGAAACACAGACTAAATGAGATCAATCACTTGTTGCACATAAACACCACTGAACATTAATTCTTCCCTGTAGGTTACAGAGGCATAGTTGAGGCAGTGGTCTACAAAGGATGTGCTTTCTTACCCATCAAAAATCTACTTAGACCATATAAAAAACAATCAGATCAGCTTACTAATGGTTCTGATCATTAGCGTTCACTCTGGATTATTTCTCACATGACAATCCATCTTCAACAGAGCTGCTGCAGGATTGTCACCATCTGTCAGAGCTGATGTCAGGCACAGACAAATCTCTCTGGCCCCTACCTGAATTGTGGCTGGCAGGAGCCCTGACCTTTGTGGCAATGGATATGCTACTCGCAGCTTTTGACTGATGGAAGAGGCTGGCTCGGCCCAGGTGGTTCTCACAAGCTGTGTCTGTGCTGGGGCTTGAGCGAGTCCAGGGCTTTGAGATCTGAAAGACACCAAGTGGAGTTAACCTCAGTGGTGATGTCTGTGACCTCTAACTGTTGCCACATTGTACCAAAAAAATTCCTTTCCCACCTGATTGGCCTAGCTTGCTCTTTAGGAAGGAGGTCAAGGGCGTTACGGAAGAATAAAGATATTTAACTTATTTCCCCATGCAGTTTGTACTACATTTCTCTTCCTGTATTTAAAACCCACCTTAGCTTCACTGTCTCTATGCCTTCTGCTCAACCCATCCCCTTCAGAAAGAAACACAAAGGCAGTTTGTGTTCCTACCCTGTGGAAGTTTGGTTCAAGAGAGCGAGATCTTTTCTTCCTGGCTGTCCTCCCAGCAGGCATCTCCCGGTCTCTCCTGCTCTTCAGCTCTCCCCTGGTTGGGGAGCACAGCTGGCTCCCAGCTGTGGGCTCCAACAGCAACCCTCCAATACATGCCCTGTCTCTTGTCTGACTGTCTGGGGTGGAATTGGCCTTTGGATACTTCAGCTCAAGCACATCCTCCCCAGAGGTGTGGCCTGGGGAGGTTCTGCTCCCAGGGTCTCTGTGCTGGGCTCTGGAGCGGCGACTGGCTGCAATGAGGGAGATGCTTTTGGTGCTGGTGGCAATTTCCTCCAAGGTCTCTGGACTCAGCAGAACAGCAGCGATGTCTGCAGGTGACTTTTTCCCATGGAAGCCTAAAGAGGTGGGGGAATGCAGCCTGGGAGTCAACTTCCCTGCAGCAACATCTGTTGGTTTCTGCTGAAAATCAAAGCAATTGCAGCCTAATGTGCTTTCCATTCAAAGCTTTTATACTTTGTCCCTTCAAAGCACTTTGAAACATTTGGAAGACATTAAATTTCACCTGAAATATTGTTACAATAACTTCTGCGTAGAGAGAAACAAAAGCAAAGCTTTTTGACTGTGTATTTCCCATACACAGCCATGGCTACAAAGTCAGTCAGCCAGTGAGCAAGGAACTGATGAGCTCCTAACTGTCCCTCCTCTTCCTGAGTGAACTGGACACACTGGAGATGGGTGATTCACACTGAGAGAGTGTCTAGATTGGAGATGGCAGCTAAGCCTTGGCCTCTTAGTTAAATCCCAGGTTTTAAACCCAAGGCCAGCGCTCTAGGAGTGATTTTATCACCTGCTGAGGTTTAGCTTCCTCACATACCCTATATTTAGCTGCTGTGCATGTTTTTTTTTCATCACAAGAGGAAAGTGCTTTCCACATCAAATGTGCCTTGAATTCAGTTCCTGCCATACTGACCTTCCGAGCTGGGCTTTTTGGCAAACCAGAGAAAGCTGGACTGAGATGGGTGTCCAGAGACCCCTCCTTCCTACAGGGTGTTTTTTGAGATGATCTGCAGCTGCCACTGTGAACAGAATATGCCAGCAGGTTACGAGATGAAAGCACAGGCCCCTTATCCACAGGGAGAGAAGCAACACGTCTAGCTAAGACCTCTCAAGCTGTGGAGAAAGCCAGAAACTTGGTAAACATGATAATAAAGTACATGGCAAGGAATACTTCAGGATTCATGAAGGAGAGATATTTTGTCCCCTGATCCTCACAAACTTTGCTACTTTATTTGGTTTAAACATTTGCCCACCAACAGAAGCAAATTGAAACTTGTCCCATAGCCTCTCTCTGCAGAGAAGGCTTCTGCTAAACCATGGAGCTGTTTTGCAAGAACAGTATACCAGGAAAGTCTCTTCTGGCAGATTCCAGTTTCTAGAGGTCCTTCTAGTTTGAT